ATTTTCTGTTCCGCTCCTCGTCCCGTTTTCTTTATTCCTCTTTTTTCAGAACCTTATTCCAATCCACATATATTAGTCTGGATATTTGCAGTAGACTTGGTTACCTTACCCAAGAACATGTGAAATCATTAGCTGACGAATATCAACCAGACCTTTGTACATTTATCGCATCAATTCTTGTTATATGAAAACCCATCAGTACCATGAATCGTTTCTCAGTCCATAAGATGATTGTCGTAACGCAACCTTCGTAACTTGCGCCAATTATTCGCATTGTACATTCCATCTTTAAGAAAACAATGAATCTTGTGAAATGTTTCAGTAACTGTATACCGTTTTAAAAAACAAATATATTGCTAATCTTAACATTTTGATCTTGCCTGTAAATTGGCATGTCTCTTGTAACATGTTTGTTATTTGAGAATAAATTATTATTATTATTATTATTATTATTAACTAGTGCGGCTCAAACCCTCAGGCGATTCATCGACCAGGTTGTTAGAGGTTTGCCAGGCGTATGTGCTTACATCGACGACATACTTGTCTCCTTCATTCCCCACGTCCCGAAAGTCTGGTTGGCGGCCGTGGAGGCTCAATTAGAGATCCACCGCATTACGAGCCAGCAGCAGAATTATGCCTATGCTCTTGAGTCTCTACCTGTGGACTACATAACTGCTGTCCGTTAGGTCGCCCTCAATTCTCACGTGCCAGATTTCTAAGGTCTGAAGGGGGCGATTCTCACACAACTCCTCCCATCGAGGGAGGAATGTCCGAGGACTTGAACAGCATGTCACCTCCCAGGTGATGCCAAGCCGAGCCACCACCTCGGGCACCTGCACTCCTTGGCAGGACCTACGACAGCTGACTCTGAATGAGGGATAGAACGGTGGCTCGTTCCCTGCAAGCACATATTTAGCCTACGATCACAGCTCTGCTCGAGGACGCACGTGGTTTCCACCATAGCAGTCAAACTTCAAGCGAGGACTAGCATGCGAGACAGCTATATGGTTGCCTTAGCGTCACGTACGAACGTAGGCCCAAATGCCAGTCTCTCCCAGGCTCAAGGAGGTCGGGATTGTTACATTCATAACCGTTTCAAGTTTCGACACCGTTCTTTTATTCCAGAACTCCACGCTCCCTGAGCCAGATCACGATGACGCAAGGCGTCGAGTATCCGCCACAAGCGGGCAGCTTCAAAGCCACGCCGAAAGGTGGCTTCGGAAGCCAACAAAATAAACCACTCGGGGAGATTCCATTGATGACTAGCCATGTAGTACACCATATCGTCACCCACGGACCACAAGTCACGGCAAAACCTCGCCGACTGACACTGAGCAAATCATTATTTGCTAAACGTGAGTTTGACAATCTACTAACTATTGGTATTTTTCGTCCTTCTCACAGTCCCTGGGCTTCACCTCTCCACAGAGTTCGCAAAATGGATGGGATACGTTGGCGACCATCCGGCGACATCAAAGTATTAAACATAGCCACACGTTTTGATAGCTATCCTACTCCCCTCACATATATGGAATCGTGGCATCACTCAACGGCATGACTATTTATTTCAAGAATGATCTGGTACGAGCATGTCATCAAGCCTTAGTCGCTCTTGAAGATTTTGAGAAAATTGCTATCACAACTTCCTTCTGTCTGTTTGAGTTCCTACGAATGCCGTTTGGATTACGGAATATTGCTCAAAATTTCCAGTTTTATCGATAGCATAGTACGAGACTTTGCTTTTGTTCACGTCTATATTGATGACCTGTTAATTGCACCATCAAACGTAGATGAACATTATTAGCATCTCACACTGTTATTCCAACATACATCGCATAATGGAATAAAAGTTAACCAATACGTGGTATTCCTTACAAATTAGAATTTAGGGATGCCGCGCGTACTGCATTTTCAGAGGTAAAAAAGCTTTATTTCAAGCCACGCTCCACGCTCATCCTTGACCATCAGCCACGCTCAGTATAGCAGTTGATGCACCAAATTTCCTATAGGAGCCGTTATGCAACAGAACATCTCTGGAAGTTAGCAACTCCTTGAATTTTTTTCTCGACGCCCCACTCCCATGGATACAAGATATAGCGCTTTTGGTCGAGAATTGATAGCAGCCTATTGTGCCATCAAACACTTCTGGTACCCAGTAGAAGGTCGGGACTTTATCCTCTTCATCGACCGTAAGCTTCTAACGTATGCTTTGCATACCATGTCTGACCGCTTCACACCACGCGAGTGCAGACAATCTGACTATATCTCTCAGTTCACTACAGACCTTTGCCACATTAAAGGCGAGTCGAACTATGTTGCTGACGCTCTGTCACGTATGCGGGTGAATGCAGTTACTTTACCGGTGCTTGGTCTCCCTGCTATGGCTGCAGCCTAAGCAAGCGATCCCTCCTGTACAGAAGCACAACTATCTATACCCCTTCAGTGCTGGAAAGTGACCTCAGATACTGGCTCAGATACTATCGTATGTGATACTTTGGCTGGTCTTCCTCGAACCATAGTACCATCTGCTTATGGCTATCTTCGATGACCCTCATGGATTGTCTCATCCAGGTGTCGCAGTCACACACCCGATAGCTACACAATTCGTCTGGCCGTCTATAGATAAAGATGACCGTATGTAGGTCAAACAGTGCTCAAAATACTTTTGTTATTTTGCGTCACCCGAGCGATCAGTATTTACGGAGGAATGTACTCTCTTATTTCCCGCTTCATGTAACAGATATAACTTCATGAAGTTGTGGCGGAATACTTTTCTGGAGAGAACGCGATTGGTGAAATGGAAACATTTATTATTATAACTAATGGTATCAGTGATTGTTTTACTGTACTCTTTTGTTCATCTGTACCGAAATCCTTTATCTTCCTGGTCACGTGACCCTGACATTGATCATGTTGCCTCGCTAGTATCGCCTCTAATATTAGTTAGGATCTTGATGTTCTTTCAGTAACACGAGATCACCAACAAATATATCTGTTACTCCAATCACGACAGCTCTTCTCACTTCTGGCTGCCAACGGATTTAACTTGGCTATTCGCTGTACAATTCCCGATAAAATGATTACCAAAACTTTACTCACAAATTTTCCGAAGCTCCGTCCACCAACAGTGTGAAATGAGATTTATTCATTCATGAGGATGCAGTAGTGAATCCTTGTTTACTCTGGCAATATTTCATCAATCCCGTGGCATTATTCCTCGTTCCAACTCGTACTCGTATTTCGGTTTCATCATTTTCTTCTGTTGTAATAATTCGTTCAGTCCAGTGTTCTCATGGAGACACGTGTGAACAAGCATATGATGAAAACTAGCATCGACCAGGCTACGCTTCATGCTGAGTCATGAATGCACATTGTTGAGACGTTTCCAGATGAAACGAATCAACCGTCTAGTGGTTTCTAGTTCGCATTAACCTTCGTCTTATTTCATCTCCTGACAGAAATTGACTTTGGACTAGCAAACTGTCGTTATCAACAGTATCTATGTGAACTAAATGACAGAATGAGTGTCGACAGGCTAATTGTATCGAGTGATGTGATGTGAACATGATTAACCAGTGCCGCTGAGTCCAACTGAATTGGACAACTTCAAAGACTGTTGATGCACTAATATTCCTGGTAATGTGAGGAAATGCTGACTTCTATACAGAGGTACGTGACAAAACAAACGTGGCTGGAAATTGTACAAAATGCAGCCACAGTTAAATAGATATCGTGTAAGTTTAACATTCCCGATACCAGTCATATGTATTTACGTAATGATGAATACGTAAGTAATCAACGACACACGTAGGGTGTAATTTAAGGAGTATTCTATCAAATATGCATACCAAATCAAAGATGGATTAGGCGATACCTACAAATGAACGATATTATATGAATTTACAAGGACTACATGCATCTTAGTGATTGTTTCATTTTGTCAATCTGTCATATTTGCAACGAATGGTCTGTGGCTAAGTGGATTAAATAGTTTGGAAAGAAATCTGGAGTTGTGGGAAATAATAATGTCTTAAAATAGACACATTCATTGGAACAAGTTTAAATGTTAATTGGTATCTTGAGATATTACTGCGTTGTACTGTATTGTATGCCTAAAAATACAATACCTGGACGAATTATTTGTAAATTTCTCGTCAAGTGGGAAAATATTCCAACTGTATGAAGTGATACGTCAATCTTAACAAATCAAGATATATGCATTCTCCGGATCACATCATATCCAACAATACTAACGATGATAATTATATCGACGACTTGAATAGTAATGAAAATATTACTGGTGATAATGATCATAGTAATAATCAATGACGATTACCACAAACATACACGTCATACAGCTAATCAACGTGCATCCACTAATATTAGGCGTAAATGTTCGATATTCATAGTAGGCGAGTCGCCCACCACTACGATTCAAATCTATGGGTGGAAAAACAATAACGAATAAGGTCGAAACGATCAAACGTTTATTCTACTGAACGACATCAAAATCCTAAGGTTTCAAATGGACAATCTGAATTTTTTTACAAACAACATGATTGTTTACATTGACTTTGGTAAAACAAGAAACATAAGAAAATGCAATCACCAGGGCTTCTCTTCGAAATTAAGGCTAGATTTTTCAGAATTTTCCACAATTTTCTTTGTTTCACCACCTCTACTTCTCACTGTGACCATCGTCGTCAGTAATGGTTCTCGTAATTGTTCTCTTGCGTGTTTCTGTGGGAGATTCATCTTCGGATGGAGTCTCTTCAATCTTTCTTGTCTTCACAGTTTTCTTCTCTTGCACTGTCTTCTCCGAATCTCCTTCCCCTGGCTCTACGATTACTTTCTTTTTCACAGTTCTTGATCTTTCGCCACCACCGCTTATTTCTCCTCTGATTACACCACCACCTATTGAAGCACCGATTCCACCGTCAGCTGTTCGTTTCACTTTTAAAAGGTCGGCTATGCCTCGATAATCTCCACGGGCGAAATTTATGACATTTCTAGCAGCCGCAGCACCATCAACAGCTAGTCCTGCTTTCGCGCCTATTCCACTGCCAATGCCCAAACCTGCTTTCGCGCCTATTCCACTGCCAATGCCCAAACCTCCTTTTGCGCCTAACACACCACCAATGCCCAAACCTGTTCCGACACCTACATCGCCAATCTCTACACCTGAGTCGACAGCATCTGAAAATGCAAAATCATGGTTAATGCAATAGTTAGTACTGTTTGAGCAGTGTGTTGAGGCGATGACAAAACAAACAAGTTACCTAATCAGGTTTTCTCCTTACTTACCTCCAGTTTGAACGCAAAGATATGCCGAGGAGATCGTTATGAATAAAATCTATTGAAAGGGTCGAAGAGAGTATTGGCTAGTTAAAATGGAGCAATCTTAATAACCTGTATCAGTGACATTGTCTAGATCGTCAGAAAGCTTGTATTGTGTGTGAACATTTATTGAGAGTCTTGGAGAGAATTTATACTCTTTTTCCATGCTTTTTACAAGGTTGCAATCGATCGAATTACTAACAACATATGTCACAATTTACACTACATATGATCGTGAACTATGGGGAAAAGTGGTAATAACTGGGTTTTATAATGCTTTTCTGAAATGTGAAATGTGCATTATTCCGTTGTGACAAGTACTGTTGTTTGATCAGTTTGTCCTTTGAATGAAATCATTGATTGTACTGTCATACTTTGAAAGCATGTGTCAGTGATGTAATGCAGTGACTGTGCATGATTTTGCCGATTTTTCTATCACTAGTGCTAAATGTATTTTGGTGAGGAGGGCTTCCTAAAAGTAGAACTGATTAGCTGTTTCTCTCACTACACTCAATCTATTACGATGATAATACGCTCACACCAAAAACTATTACATTTTGTTTAATTTTTAGCTTGAGAACTAGTGAAGCATCGGACAGATAT